ATTAGTGTCAAGACAAGATGACTGAATTTATATTTCAATTTACTTATTGTCCACTTTTTTTAGATATTTCATTCTTTTTGCATCTAAACTCTATGAATATGATATATGTAAGAAAGAAAAATCAATCTTTGCGTGAAAATCCAGTTTCTTCTAGAGTACAAGAAATCATATGTATGCATTATTTCTATTTCCAATACAATTTGAACTATATATCTAGTGTTCGTTTCTAAAGGTTTTAGCTTAAAAATGAGAAATGACAGTATTTAGAAGTTTTGAAGATTGCATCACACACAGACAGATATATTTATAGCACAACGTCTCCCGTTCTAATGAAGTTGAATAATGTACATCTCTGAAGAAGCATTGTTGAACTCGATTTATCTATCTTTTCATTGAAATAATGAGCACATCCATATCATGATCACCTAACCGAGTATTAAACAAAACTAATCATCAAAGAATTATCATCACTCTGTCAGGCAAATCTGCAAAAAGTTAGCAAATGCTAGAGTTTTAGTTGAAAAAGTTTTACAATGGAAGTCTTTCTTTTGAAATATTCAAATGAGAATTGATGAGTTCATGACGATCAATCTGCAACATGTTGTTTGGTTTTGTTGCGAATCTTTACACTATAAAACATAACTTTTGAGACATACAATTTTGTTTTGATCTCAGTTGTTATCAAAATATTGTGATTCAGTTTGTTTGAATAAATTCTCTATACAATTACACCAATCATAAGACCTTTTCCGTATCTTTATTAGTGGAAAATTAAAATTTCAAGTTTTCAACATCGGACAGTATAATTATCTCAGTATTCATGAACATATGTATTATTAATAAAACTTAATTAATTTTAAAAGTATAATAAATAGCAAAATAGTCGTTTACTTTTTCTGTTGGAATTAGGATGCAATCAAATTCTCTCCAATACATTCTGTTACGTCGTTACATTTTTCGATGTGTTCTTCTGTATAATAAATATCTATATATGAATCGTTCTTGTAACAACGATGAAGCTTGTATGTGCTGTTTTCGTAGCAAGCAGATTACTCAAACAAGTGTAAAATTGAGCTTTTCTGCGTTCTTAAATATCATTGAACTCCTTAGAGTCTGTATCAAACGAATAAACTTGCATGGTGTTACTTGACATCGATAGGCATTGTTTCGATCATGGTGATGTTGATGGATGTTTCACCTAATATTTCGTCAGGAAGTCATATTGTAACCCATGTCGTATATAATCGTCAATAGCATATTCAATGGCACTATTTCGATTTTCTTAATCATTCGAATAGGTATGCACTTTGGATGGCAGTACACATTAAAATAGCCTTTACCAGCACCATTTCTATCCATAAAAACTCTGTTTGACTATCTACAAACAGATTGTGTTGAACATTGATCATAGCATCCCCCAAAAAAATGATAACAAATTCTGAAAGTTAATAAAAGAAAAAACTTAATCACGTAATCTATGCATCAAGTTTCTATGAAAATATGATGACGAAAACACTTTTCTGATAAAAAGAGATTTGATTTTTATAGATTATTGTGATCTATTTCCAATTATAGTTCGACTAAACAGAATGAAAACTAAAATTTAATATCAAATTTGTACTCGATGTTAAAACTGAGTTGACTAAGTTACGTAAGAAGTTAAATCTATTTCATGTCAGATTTCTATCAAAGATCTTCTCGACAACTCTTTCGAAAGCTGATATATCGATCTTTATTCGATATTCTAACAAAAAAGTGATCATCACACTAGGACACAACTAATGATGTTCATCAATATAAAATCCTCGACGATATGTTGATCGACCTAAGATGAATATTTTTCTATTTCTTTTTTAACAATAAAGCAAGTCAATGTACTTCATAATATAATTTAAACATGAATGTAATGAAGCAGCTCAAGCTAATCGATAATATCTACGATCGCTGTGTCAAATAATTTGATTGAATAAAATATTTTACAATGATAGCATTTGTGAACATAAAAAAGTCTCCCGCTTTATAATAGTAATTTTATTTAAATATTTCAAACAAACATTACATAAATGAAAAAAAGACAAGTTTTAAAGACTGTTTTTGAATGCGATGCAATGAGTATGTTTGTGATCATTTTCCACATTTGCATGTGTCAGCCGGACACTTGCAATTCTGACACATACAATCTTCCTTGCCACATCCACCATGATCTTTAATTGAATCAAAGAACAAACAATAAGACAAATGAGTCGCTATATATAGAAGTGAACTTACGTGGTATCTGATGGCACTCGCAGCTTGGATCACATGAACATTTACCCATTTTCATGCAGTCCTCATCCTGACCTTTGCATGTACACTTTCTGGCTAAGTGAATGACAACAACATTCAGATGGAACTCTTTCCTAATGTTCACATTACTTCTTACTTTCACATTTGCACGGCATTTTTGATCGTGTTTGAATAGAAGTTACGGCGTAGTTGTCGTTTGTCTACAGAGCGTAATATATGCAAATGAGAATGTATCATTCTATTTATATAAGTTATTCTCTACGATAGTTCGAAAAACCAGCAAAATAAGGAGGTGTCGTATAGAATAGAGAGAGCATCATTGCTCGACGAATAAAAAAAGAAATATGCGCCACTATTGCGTTGCCTCATCAGGACGATGCAACGCACGCATATGACCTTGTTTTTTTTCTCGTTTTCTATGTCTTATGAAAGACAGAAAGAGAAAAAACTGCTTTACATCAATATGCATAGAGGAACAAGAAAATAAATGTGTCCATCTTTCTTTTTGCGCATCAATAACCATTCAAATATTTTCCATTGAATTTTGCGTCAGTGTTCGATGATTGTTTTGTAAATTGAAATTAGAGAAAAAATTTGATTTGATCGGTAGACACTTACTTTAGAAAATACTCTTATAGGCATTGTTGTAATTTGTTCTTTTGTACATGATTACATGAGCAAAATTCTAAGAATAAATCTTTTTCAGGATTGTTCAAGAATGACTTAACAAGAACATTGAAAATTCTTAAATCAAACAGATCTACAGCTGCATGTCCTTCAAAACAATTACCGTCGAGTTTTGAAGCTGCCATAGAGAAACGGCTTTTGCCGGTAAAAGATGACAGTGAAGGCATTGGAACGAACTTTTCATTGCATCCTTAGATTACATTCCATTGATAACGAATATCTCGCATCGTCTTATATAAAAAATGGGTAATACAAGAAAATCTACTTTGCTGTTCGGTTCAGACTCCTACGACTGTTCGATACTTCAATTCATCTGAGTATCTGTGCACGGCAATCAAGTACTCCCTTCTAACACTGAGTGTTCATGAGTACTTTTATATTTTTTTTGTGAGCTCTTAGTAATTTTTGTAAACTACTCAGAAGCATACAACAAGTGCACCAGAAATAATGACCGCACTTTCCATTTCAATTTTCATTTACTTAATATATTGTATTAATAAAACAAAATATATCAGGAGACGCAGCGTGAAAAGCTCTACAGTTTACATACGATCGGTTTTTTTTATAACTACAGTTTTTACTTTCAAAATGGTCAACATTTTGAAGGATCAAATTTTAACCGTGCAAAAACGATATTTTGTTTTGTATAAGATGAATTCGTTTCTTCTTTCACCTTTTTTTATCATCTGATATCTTTTACTTAAAAAAAACAAAATATACGACAAGATGCAGCGTGAAAAGCTTTACAATTTACACAATAAAGCTTATTGTAATTGCATTCAAAAAGAGCAAAATTTTGTACGACTGATTTTCGCACGGTCGAAATTGGTTCGCTCAATATTTTGCCCATTTTGAAAGTCCAAAAGTAAAGTATAAAATGATCGGTCTCATGTACAATTGTAGAGCTTTTCACACTGCGTCTCCTGATATATTTTGTTTTATTAATACAATATATTAATTAAATGAAAATTGAAATGCAAAGTGCGGCCATTATTTCTGGCGCACTCGTTATTTGTTCAGTACTGTTGTACTATATCTATCCGTGAGAGCATTCAAATTTTATGGTGTAACTGTGGGTGAGTGTGGATCTTCTTGTCACACTCATTCATATCCACAACCACACCTACGGACCCCATATCGACAGCCATCCACACTCACACTCACACCTACATCCATATCCCGAAACATCGCAAATATTAGAGATTTGAATTTAATCATTCCACATTTATAGGTATTCTAATCGAAACTCGGTCGATTTTCTGGCAATTTTTATGAAAAAGAAATCACTTTTTTGTTTACCCTTTTTTAAGAAACAACCATTGTTTCGGCACTTAGAAAATTAATTTAAAAACTTGAGAAATGATATTAGAAAAAGCTATAATAACTATATGATTCGTTGCGTCGTCATCTCATCCGTCCAACTGTGATGACTACAGTTCTCTATCTTATTTCTCTCAAAAGTTATTCAAAAATACTCATCAGACTTTTTTCAAATGAGTATTAATGTAACTGTTACATATTATAACAAACAGATCTTTATCGAATTTTTTTTTATTATAATATTAGCTGCAGGATTATCAAATATTATAGAAAAATAGAGCATTGTTTTCACTATCAGATAATATAAAAAGAAAGTCTTTTTAAGATTTTTATAAGGAATTAAAATACCTCCGCCACTACTTTTGAATTACCCTAAGTAATAGAGACATTGTTGAATATTCGATCTAATAGTAAGATTTTCTGAATTAAAATGATGAAGAATGAAGAATATTTATTTGATTGATTTAGCTTTAAATATGTTAAAAACTGAATATTTGAAATTCAAATAAAGTATTGTTCATGATACGATTTAATTTGTAAAAATAATTTTTGTAATCTTATCGATGTCATTTTTTACATTCATAACACACATTTTACTAAAGTTGATCTCACTGACCGGTTTTTCTTATCTCGGTATACTTCATAATATCTTTCGGGGTGTGGGTGTGAGTGGATGCAGTGTTCTTTCATTCACACCCACACCCACCCTATTGTAAGGAATTTTCTTTCTTGTTTTTAATTAATTCTATTTCTTGTTCTTGTTTCTCGATTTGTAATTTATCTTCTTTATATTGAAAAACTATTCTTAAAAACTGAAGATCGTTATTTGTCATTTTTTGTAAAATATTTTCTACTATCCCTAGAGTATTTTGTATTGTTTGATTTTCAAAACTATTTAAATGATTTACTGTCCATCGAATAAATTCAATTAATTTTTCATTTTTAAAAACGTTACGGATATCATGTGATTTAGGAAGATTATGACAGATTTCTTCAAGTAAACTTGGATCATATAAAGTGTTAAAAGCGTCTATTTGTTGTTCAATTGTAAATTTTGTTTTCTTCGGATAAATTTTTGAAGATTGAAAAGTTAATAATTTGTGTAGATCTTTTGATTGATAGATTTCATTTAAATATTCACTTTGATCAGACAATACACTTTGATCTGTTTTCATTTTTTCAATAATAATTGAAAAATTAAAGATAATATCATATAAATAAGATCAAGGATATTGAATAAGTATTTCTTCTATTTTCACTGTTTCTTCTATTAGATTATTAAATTGATCTTTTTCAATATTTATTAAATTTAAATTATGTTGAAAAACAAAAAGAAAGTCATTAATAGTATCTAACTGCTCGAAATTAGCTAATAGATTTGAAAAAAATCTCTGTTTGGTTTTCATTAAAAAATAACGAATTTGAAGATATTTGAAAAATCTCAAGTAAATTTATTGGATAGCCATCTTCATTAAACTTATCAATGGATTCTATTAATTGCGACCTATTATTTTTATATAAATTCTGATCAAATTCATAAAAAGGAAATTCTTTTAATAAAGATGAAAATTGACGATTAGTATCAAGTGGCTCAAGTTGATTATCATCAGCTACTCGAAGCATGTTTAAAATATTTAAAATATTTTCTTGGGATTCTCTTTGATTTGCTCGAGGAAAATCTTGTTGACATTCGTATGTTTTTGTAGTCCATATTAACCAATAATGTCTTAGATATTCTCTTTGCATTCCTTTACAAAAATCTATTAATAAATCGAAAGTACAAGGGCTCATCCATAAAAGACGGCTGGTTAAAAACGGCATTTTTGGACCTCTCTCCCCTCTTCAGAAATGTCCAGTATTGACCGACTCGTTCCTCCTTCTGGACGTTCAGTGTGCAAAAAGTTTTTGAAAAGAGTCTTTTTGTTTAATGGGCCTCCATCAGACAAAGTCAGTTTTTGAGAAGTTCATCAATTTTGTGATTTATGACTCGTTAGATAGAACAATGTGTCTACTCTTGGATGCACCATAGTTGAGTGATTTTATGACGAGCTTTAAGAATATTAAATAAGTTTTTCTGAACTTCCATATTGGAAAAAATAAGGTTTTTAAAAACATATTTTCCGTTTTTTCGAGTATACTGTTTGTGCAGGCAAACCTTGCTCAATAACGACTCAATATAGAAGTGATAACTTATTTTTATTGCAAAGAGGACAGTTAGGACTAGATCCTTACAGGATCTGACTTTTGAATCTCTCTATTGGTGAAATAAAAAACTTACATATTTCATTTTTCTCAGCGATCTTTTTGCCCATGAATTCCAGAGTTTTTCGGAAAAGTTTTTTAAAAAACAACCAAAGGGAATTTCAAAAATCGGGCTCTGTGAGGATCTAGCCCTAAGGGTACTCTACAACTTAAAAAACGCCCCGGCATATTAGTTCGTACCCTGATTGTGAAAACGTTGCCCACATACAGGATACTTTTGACCAATAAATTGACTATAACTCGTTAGTATATTGGAGTTTGAGGAATATATTTCACTCATAATCTATCGTAGCCTAGGCTAATATTCTCCCAAAATTTGGTTGAAATCAGACGAAAAATAACAAAGTGCGTTTTTGAAGGACCCCCTTAATTTAATTATATGTTCTTCATGTTGTGTAAAATTTTTTTTGTATTTCTTATATTTGTTGT